GAGAAAATAGGTTTCTGACCGAAGCTTCTCATAAAAGATACAAATCCATAGTTTTCAATGTATCTCTTTTAATCAATTAAGAAGTATCTCGTTTGAGAAATGAATATTTTGGCAAGCAACTGTGTTGTTCAAAAGAGATACATTATCTCTCATTTCTGTATTCCAAATAGAAATGAAATTAACGGTAGAAGCAATCGAGATTATCTTCAGCGGTAATTAGTATTTTGATCAATGATATTTAAGGCAAACTTCGCATGTAACCCAACAGTTTTTAACTGGCTCAAAAAACTTCGCCACCCGACTCGGTTTAACCTTGACGGCAGAAGAGTTTCATAAAAGGCTCAGTGCTGCACAATTCGGATTTCATTGTTCCGAAATGTTTATAAATAACACTACCCAAAGCAATGTTGCCTCACTCTTCAAAAAATTATCATGGATTTTATACAAAAGCAAACTCAAAAAGGCGCTTCTGCCATATTGTTCAAAGAAAATCTTTTTCTACGTATCAATAAAAACGATTCTGAATGGTGGTTGTGTACAATTAATAGATCTTATTAATATATTAATTAATAGACTTTAGAAAATTATAAATTATATGTGTAAATGGTACAAGTCTTTGGTTTTTTTTTGAAAATAATTTGTTTTTAAGCTTAATTGATCAAAGTACTAATTACCGCTGAAGATAATCTCGATTGCTTCTACCGTTAATTTCATTTCTATTTGGAATACAGAAATGAGAGATAATGTATCTCTTTTGAGAAACACAGTTTCTTGCCAAAATATTCATTTCTCAAACGAGATACTTCTTAATTGATTAAAAGAGATACATTGAAAACTATGGATTTGTATCTTTTATGAGAAGCTTCGGTCAGAAACCTATTTTCTCTCCAGAGCATCCGATGTTAGAGTTCTCGATTAGCTTTGAAAGTGGAAGAGACTATTGTCTGGCAGAAAGCAGGTCCAAAAATCTTCACAGAAAGTGAAAAGAATTTTTTATAAGATAAGACACACATTCTATGAAAATTATATTAACATCGGATGTTCTCGAACAGAAATAGATTTCTAACAGAGAGAAAGCCTTCAGAAACGTTTGTACACTCAAAACTCAATTCTCTTTCTCTATCATTTCATTCGAGTCCATCGCTATCGAAAAGTTCAAATTTATTGATCTCAAATTTCACAAAGCTGAGTTTCGAGTTTCAGATGAAGAGTCCTGTGATCAACTGTGCACCTATGAAGTCTTCCATTATGTTCATTTGTACATTTCCAGTGACGTACCATTGGAAAGAGTAGAAAAAACCTACACACTATGTGAGATGTAAAAGATCGATACTCGAATTTAAAATGTGCGCAATTTTGAAAAGTCGAAAAGTTTACACTACATCGACATAAAATGGCACTAATGTCGCTTTGTAGAACGATAAATGCTGCGTAAGATGAAGGAAGATGTAAAGAAGAAGTTTCAGAACAGTTTCAAAAATTTGAGAAACGAGGAAACATAAGAAAAATAGTGCCTCAGAGTTTGCCGTATGAAACGTATGGCCGCAGCAGGTGTAGATCCAGGATTCTACCGACGGGATGGTGATTTCTAACGATGTCATCCGAGGTAGTATCAATATTTTTTCTAAGGAAGTCTGGTAGTGTTCTATAAATATTAAATAATAAATAATTCTATTTGCAAGGGGACGGCGGTCGCCGGACCGCTGTAGTGCTGGATCCGCCACTGGGCCGCAGCAAGTTTAAAATTGAGAATGTTTGTCGAATACTACAAATGGCAATACTCTCACTTACTGTGTAAATAATTTGATTGACATTTTCTAAACTTAACGGTTAAATCTTGTAGTGCTGACGCTGTTGCTTGTAAGACATTATTCGCTAAACGTTTATCATTTGTTTGTGATTGATTTGTTTCACTGGATATTTGTTGAACTGACATATGACAAGTATTTAACATCTAAAACACAAGTCGGTTATGAATAAATTTTTAAAATAAAAATAGTAACCATAACATACTGAGGTGATATCTTTTGTAGTCGATTCAATTTCTTTTTCTTCACTTGAATTTTCATCAAAATCAGGTCGAGTCAAATGTTTATCATGTAATTGTGTTAGTTTTTTCACTAAAAGTTGAAAATAATGTGGTAGATATAACAAACGAGAAAGTAAAGTGCCGGAAGTTCGAAATTTGAGCACTATTTTATTTCTTGTTGATTTATAGATGAAGAGCGTAGCGAGTTGATTAAGGAAAAGCTGGTTTTAACCCTTCGAAATCATTTTTTCAATGAAAAGAAAATTAAATTTTAAAAAGGTATCATTTTTCGAAAAATCTTGATATTTCAAAACAAATTAGTTTTTCCACTCTACAGTTCTTGTTAACTTTCGAAACCAGATTTTTCTGATTCAGCATCAGAAACTGAATCTAAAGATGATATTTAAACGGTCACGTGAAACTGATTCGAATGATATATATTTCGAAATTTTTTGTTGATTTTCAGTTTTTGGTGAAAATCTTAGTAATTTTTTCAAATTCAAAAAAAACGGCGTAGTTTTTCATGCTGATCACGAATATAACATTTATGTTTCGTCAAAATCCCATTTTCGCACCGCAAACTCTGAGATACTTTTTTTCTCATGTTTCTTCATCTCTCAAATTTTTGAAACTTCTGAAACTTCTTCTTAAATCAACTTTTCCTTAATCAGCTCGCTACGTTCTTCATCTATAAATCAACAAGAAATAAAATAGTGTTCAAATTTCGAATTTCCAGCACTTTATAGATATCTACTTGCTTCGATTTCGAACTTGATCAAATTGTAATTGAATACGTCTTTGTGATTCTATCCTACAGCAAGAAAGCAAACAAGATTCTTAAAAATATTCTCTTACAAAAATGACAGCCATACCAGGTTGGTGGTAAATTTTTCTCGAAGTATACAATTTCTTCTTCATCATTTTCAATCAACGCCGTACGATCGTCTGTTGTCTTCAAAACGTAATAAACAAAAAAAATGATACATTTCATTCAAAATTAAGTATTAATCGCTTACTTTTTCATCTGTATTATAATTTCTATCTCGTACAGCTCGATTTCGAAATTCTAAAAAATTTGATGTCAAATTTCGACTTGTCATTTTTATGCGATTGAGAAATAAATCTCATTTGATATAAATTGTTATCATACTGAAGAAGAAAAGAAATAACTCAATATGACTACATACGCTGAAGAAAATCATACATAGGTATACAAGAAATCAAAAGTCTAATGTTGATATTAGAGTTAATATATTAATGAAAAATTATGCATAAAATTATCTACTAAACGTTAATATATGTCAAAAATAACAATTTTTCTAGAAAAAAAATCCAAAACATGTAAATAATTTATTTCACCGTTTGAATAGCACAGTCTATTAAACTATGTTTTTGAAAGACCCGTAAATAAAATCAGAAAAAAAATATATCACTATTGCAATTATCAGTGTTTCATAAGAGCTTCACCAACAAGTCTTTTTAAAGCATTTGTTGAATCAGTCCAATCTTTTTCACCAATTTTTTTTATTGTTAATTTTAATACTTCCATCGCTTTTGGAAATGTTGCTTTAAATATGGTTACAACCTCGTTTGGATCGACAATACCTTAAAAATAATACCAAAAAAAAAACAAAAATTATTTTTCTTACTCATCATACAAAAAATAGTCATCGAATATTTTACCATCTTCTTTGTAACAAATATCATCAGTAACAATGGCTAATGCGGCATACGGTATTGCTAATTCTTTTGCCAAGATAGCTTCAGGTGTTTGTGTCATACCAATTGTTGTACAACCCCAACTAATAAAAACTTTATTTTCAGCATAAGTTGAAAAATTTGGTCCTTCGATAACGAGAATAGTTGATTTCTCTTTATAATCATCAATTTTTAAATCCTTACAAGAATCAATTAATAATTGGCGTAATTCACGATGATACGGTGGATGCATTGATACATGCATTACACCTTGCGGATGTAATTCTCCTCCATCATAAAATGTTGAACAACGAAATTTGGTCATATCAATATAATTATCTGTAATAGTAACGATAGATATAGTAAGAGACAAAAGGGAAAGTGATAGAATTATTTTATAAAACTATCAATTATTATATTTTTACGATATTTAAAGTAAAAATAGTAGAATATATACCTAAAATGACTAATGCACCACGTTTTAATTCAGGTGATAATGAGCCGACAGCTGTTGTTGCTAATATTAAATTAACACCCATTTCATTTAATGCCCATAAATTTGCACGATAATTTACCTGTG